ACGTATAACATATGGCCGATAAATGAACATGACCAAATGATTTTATTCATGTCATTCAGGTGCTAATGTAAATATCGGAAGGGAAAATGTGGTTTCACCTCAAGAGATGAATACAGGCATCAGAGGAGGACTGGCAAGTTCAATTACATGAATAGCCACAATTTTTGGGTTGACATGTGATATGATGGAGCCAACATGACTTCAATGTGCCATGTCAACCATATGAGTTGAGGGGTACACAGTAAAAGCAATGAAAATGATTGATTGTGTGACTTTGAGGAGAAATGTCTTCTCACAAAATCGCCTCCCTTTTCAAAATAACAATAAGAAGCTGCAATCTCCCTGTTTAAAGTTTTTCATATCTCAATCGAAAATCTTGAAGACAGAAAATGCTGGAAATACACATCACACTTGATGAATAACCTACTGTACATCTAATCTCAATTATTAACATAGCCCTGTGCACTTAACCCAGATAACTGCTGACGGCTGGTGACATTTTTAAAGGCAGGAATCTATTGTATGAGTGTTTTTTTTCTTCACCTGCATGCCATGGGAGAGAGCAGGTTTTACAGTAGCAAATCTCAGGAGGCACAGAGGTAGTTACTGGAATGGAACGGTGAAGCCCTGAGCCAGAAGGCAACAGCATCTGTTCTCTCTGGAGACTGTCATCTGCAGTATGGGCTAAAAGAATGGCTACTTATGTTGAAATGTGCTAGCTCTATTTTTTCTGCCTGGCACCACAATACTGTAGTTCTCTTTGTTAATTTGAAAAATTCATAATGCGCATGCAATGACATTTGACTTAATGGTGGGATCAAATAGTGTAGCTCTCAGTAAATGTCAATCGGACTCTGGAAATAAAGGAGGAAAAAGGCCTTTCCTGTTTTTAATTATATACTGCAAAAAATAACAGAGCTAGGCATGCATTACATTTGCAAACTGTTGGCTTTATATTCTGCTTTTCACCTTAGCTTTCTCATGTCACACCTCAGGTGTAGAAAGGTTTGTGTCTGGGAAGTTAATGAGTTGTTTCGCCTGAGAGAAATATGCCTCACTCTTATCCACTACAAAGATATAATGGAAAAGATTAATATCCTTAAAAGAATCTATTAAGTGTTAAGATTAACTGATGTAAAAGGTGAGACACTCAATTTCCATTAAACATGAGGGGTTCAGCGAATTGAAAAACACACCACTCAAGATTTCAGTTATTTTAATAGTAGTTTGGGCTCATTCTACCCAGTAAGACGCTAATACTCTACTGAATAAGATTCAAAGGCCAGATTCTCACACTGCCTTCTCTAAAGATAATCTTATTTCTTACTTGGCTGAACTTGAGAGTTGGCTCATGCAGATAAAGTAGACACCAACCGTTTCCCATTGACCTTTCCAGAAAGGAGCAGAGAATGCTTCAGAAAACAAAAACAATCAATGAGAATGCAAATGAATCACTTGAAAGGCATCTCTCACTATTTCACTGTAAGTAATTTACTGGCAGTGATTTATTGATCTCAGAGAAAAGATATTTGAGTTGTTAAACCAATAGCAAGATAATATCTTCTTCTTTTATTGGATTTTTGAAACTGTTTTCACACCACTATGCAGCCAAACACCTTGTGTGAATGAAATGTGTGTGTGAAGATTTTTGTGAAATTATAACAGGAATGCCTGTAGAAATATATGACTTTTATCTACCAGGACCCTACCACTCCTCATTTATTGTTCAAAAGGCATTGCGTGGTGATGCATGACATGATCTACAGTATGACATGTTCACTATGTCTACCAGAAATCAGCCTCCTGGCATTAGTGTCATTGTAATCAACAGTAATATCATCTTAAAATGTCATATGTTTTGTGGGGCAGCTAAACCTTTAGTGATTCCTCTTATGACAAGAGAAAGCACAGCTGAGGGGGAAGCTAAATAGAAAACTGCTCCATAGGTCTTCCTGAGACATCTCCAGCTCTCCCACCCTGAGCAAAACACAACGATTTATTGACATTTTTACTCTGCTTAGCCACCCTCGGCATAAAGTAGCAACCAACACCTTATCTTGTAGGCATGCCATTTGGAAAGGACATTTGACATGGAATCAGACAGGCGTTAAGAGTAGACCCATATTGCTGCCATTTTCAAAATAAAAAAAGTACATGACTTTATGTTGTCTTTCTGTACATGTAAGAAGAAGCACGATGCTTAGGATATGTCCCTGAGAATCTCATCACTGTAGGTATGTAACATTCAGGCCAAAAGCCTGTGGGAGCTTATGGGCTGTCTACTTCCTGGCCTTATCTGTACTGACCATTTTAGATTTAGGAGACAACTCTTGTGAACATTCTTACAAAAATCGTCCTCTTTTCAGAGTTACTTTTCAGAGAGCAGCCGTCAGAACCTTTCAGGGAGGAGTCCATTGAATCAGCAGTGCATGAACCTTCTTCAGACAGAAACTGGTGGTCTGCAGGTCAGGATAAAATTATTTTTGATTGTTTTGTTGCACTACAAAGATGATAGATATGGATTAGGGGCTTTTTTTTTTTTTTAAAGAACTGGAATCATTTCATCACTAAAGTGATTGTGTGTCACTGAAACTTGCGTCTGTGAAAAAATTCTGTTTAGACAGGAAAGCCCACTATGATCAACACACTTATATATTATATTTGCAAGGGCACAGTCAGTTTTGTAAAGCCTACTTGTGCTGCTCCTTCAATGAGTGAAAAACATTTGTCTGTAGAGAAATATTTTAGCTTCAACAAACATCAAACAAAACAAGCAGGGAATGATTGATTGGCATTCATTATACTAATATATATCAAGACACTTAAGTTAAAAGTTAAGGATAGTGAGTAATTATTGCTAAAAAATTACAGTGCCCATCTGCTGTAAAAAAAAAAATACTGAGCCTAAGATTTACTGTATGTCTTCATTAGGAATCACTGTGCTTGGGGCTGAGCGCTTTAGGCAGGGTAAAGAAATCAGAAAGTGTTGAGAGACTGAGAGCAACACATTGTTGGTTTTGGTCTTTTTATGGGATTTGTTTACAATAATAAAAATATACAAGAATATATACAGACCAAGAAAATGGATTTGACCATTTTCTAAGTTCCCCACTAATTTGAGATGGAAATAATATGTATATATGACAAGCTTTATGAATTCTTGGATGACATTGTCACATCAGGCCCACAACATTCATAATGTCCAGAACAAGACTTATTATTTCTGAACTAGCAGCGAATAACCTCTTGACTGCACTTCACTTGTCTCCAACCACTTTCCAGTTACTGAAAGAATGGCCATGTTTGTGTCCAACTTTATCACAGACCTTTACGATGTTTTATATGTGTATGATGTTACACTAGTGATACTAAGTCTTGTTTTGAGTTTTAGCACTGGCTTCAATGGGATCAATGCCAAAAAAAAAATCTCTGGATACATGAATTCTGCTTCTGTGCTGCCCTTGAAGGCAGCAACTGCCTGTTAGTTCAATGAATTAAAACAATAGATATGTGCTATTTAGTGTTACCATGCTTCATTTAATTAACAGAGAAAAGTAAAAAGAAATGCTTACACAACAATGCATTCACCTCGAAATCACGACACATGGCTTTCCCCTACATGCCGCCCGTTTTTTAATAATAAAAACAGTGACGGTATCATTATCAATATCAGTGACTCTGGTCCTGGTGTTACGTGGTAATGAATCGTAGCCATATTTTGTGATACTACACACCTCTGTTCCTTATATTTTAGTCTGTCTGTGTGAATGCTTCTTTGTTGTGTTCTGGATAATTGTCCGTGAATGTCACATAGGAATAAAGATCAATGGTATTATTGATTTCAGTGCTCGGAGTTTCGGAAACATGGCTTCCTGTATGCACCAAGAATTTTACATATTTCTGAGCCAATTCTCTGTGAAACAGAGAGCTCGAATAAAGGTCCTTGTGTGTCAAACCACAGTGTTATTAATGACTGCCCCATCTTCGGAAACTATTGTTCTGCTCAGAACAACTCAGCAATTTATGCTATTTGGCTTCCTCATATATGTCCCAAATCCCCTCTGCACAGAGTTGACTTTGCCAAAGCCTCAGACATTAATGCTGTGTTGTAATGTGCCTACATCTCAAGCAGTTTCTTGCTGTTCCTCTCACTCTGGGTATTCTTCACTCCTTCCTGAACTGGGAATGCACCCTGTCTTCCTGAGCAAGCATCAAAATAAAATGTGAAGTCTTTATGCCATAGAGATGGCAGTGTGAGCTGCAGGCCTTGGGCATGTTCTGCATGCCAGTGATAAAGCATCCAGACACAATACAAAAGTAGAGCTCACCATGTAGCGAAAGTGGCGGGGAACGGGGAGGATCGAGCTGTCTCCCACACATACAGATCGCTGCTGATTTACACCAAATAACAGCACTCACTTCACCTCCCCTTCTTTACTACGATCACCATTACGTCTCCATAGTAGACTGAAGAACTCCCCCACTGTAGATGAAGATTACCTTCAGCTGAATGACATTATTACTTCTCAACACAATCCACTTTCAATTTTCTTTCCTGTCCACCTTGAGAAAACATGGTCTTTTCTAATCTTCTTTTATGCACCTTCCTCTAACAACACCGAGGTAAGCTAAGGGCTAAGGGTTTACGTGTTTTCCATCCTCACATCTGTATCTGGTAATAAACATCCTGACTTTTATTGTTAAGTTTCATGGAATAACTTAAAAAGACTAAGCATGTTCTTAATTCCCTTTATGTAGGGCAGAGTAGTGACAACAGAAAGGGAAAGGAATAAAAGGAACTGTTCCCTCAGGAGAAAAAGAAATTCATTCTAAATGTAAATAATTGTTAATCATGTGTTCACAGCGATGTGAGTGGTGCCAGTTTCCCTGATTTGCATTTGTCAGAAGCATATGATCAGGTGGAGTCCCACCATGCCATCTAATCCAGAGGCAGTCTGGCTTTAAGACATGTGATACAGTCTTTACACTCAGACAGGCTGTACGGGCACATTTGTTTCTTAGTGCTCGCTGAGAGGGGACTCAGCTAGAGCTGCTGCTCAGAGGCTGCCTCTCACTGGAAGGATGCAGACGGTGAAAGAGGAGATTCTACTACAGTTAATTAAGGAGCACTCCACACGTGCCTATAAATGCGAAGGGGCAAATGAATTCAGTGTCAGTGGGAGCAACTCTTCAAGGGGAAGCAGTGATATTTCAAAGGTGGAATTGAAAGAGCTGTAAATCTATTTCCTGACACCGGCTTGACCGTCATTTCTGAATCACTGGACTGTTGCTATCAAAGTGTGGAGCGGGAAAGCAGAGTCAGTGGAGTTCTCTCCTCGAGCCAAATTCAGTTATTGGATGGGATCAACATGAGAAGCATTATGGATGGATTTATGTCATTCTGTTGAGATATTTATATAGTCTTTATTGGGTTGCTCAGGTAAGATTTTCTGTTTCCTACTCTGGGAAAAAAAATAAATTATGTCATTGTCAAGAGATTTAGCTTTTTGCCAAAAACTGGCAAATCAGACATTTAAAATAAAAATGGGTAGTTTGGATTTAAATGTGAAATCTGCACATATAATTGTACTCTGTGGAATATTGTTGAGATAGAAAATTATTCCATGATAGGGTTAAATTGTTAGTATATGGAGAATTGCAATTTCACTTAAGATGTTTATTTAGCCATTCAGCTATTTTCTGAACTATTGTATTAGTACTTTTGATGCTTAAAAGCACAATGAACATGTGGAAGGACTGAAAAGTACTCTACAATCTAGATATCATGAGTAAAATCTGGAGAATGTACTTCATTTATAACCTTAATAGGACAAAGTGATGCAATACTCATTTTTCCTTCCTAAGGTTTGATAAAAGTTGTAATGTTAAAATTACATCATAAAGAAGTTAAATTTAAAGATATGCCCTAAATGTTATAAATAGCCTATGATACGTGATAATGTATTTAAAAAGGTTAATAATCTCATCCCTGTTGGCAGTTTGCTACTGCAAATAAAACTGCTGTAAAACAATTTCAGGGCTGAAACATTTTGTATTTTCTTCTTTATAGATTTCCTTCACAGCCACCCTTCTCCTAATACCATTGAAGCATTCCTCACAGTTGTTCTGTTTCTGTCTTTTTTCTCTTTTCTTATCTAAACAGCATGGTGAAACATTACAAGGCTGTTGATTCCTATTACTGCTGTGTCACTGTCACATTATTCTGACAGATACAGAAAAGCCTCGGCAGCCAGCTTCTTCCAAAATCTTATCTTTCTTTAAGTTTGATTTTGGGTTTGAGGCAGGAGCACAGCTCAGGAGTTGAAGGGAGTCAGCCTGTCAGGGGAAATTTCTGCTGCATGGGAAAAAAACTCCCCAGGGATCACTCCACATTTGCAGCATTGTGGCTCAGGGACAAGACAGGGCAAACTAGGAAGACGAAACAGTGAAGAAGTCATACTTATATAATCATGCTAATGATAAATTCCGATGACTAAAAGACTCCACTGAGGTGCATTAAGGCCAATTATAAACCACAGTGCTTGTACAAAATCTTGAAATGTATTTATTAATATATTTTACGCATGACTCCAGAAGTGTGTGTGTTTTGGGGAGTCGAGATCATAGGTTGAGAACGTGATCCTTTTTTTTGACCACACCAATGTCGGTTCTTAGCAGATGTGTCCTGTCATGTCCTGGCTGCTCTGCCTGTGCCTCTGGGTCAGTGTGACTACCATTCAGCTCTGTCAGGCCACTTTCTACGACACCATTCAACAGCATCATGGGACGAGGCCTGGACGAACCACCATCCACATGATCGGTGAGTCCTTCAGAGCTTTCTCTACTGCTCTGGGTACCACAGATCTCTTACAAGCATCAAAATGTGACGCAAATGTTTTCTTTGAGCATCATTTTTTCAGTTGGTGCCATCGTCCCTTGAGAACTGTTACTGTAGCATGCTGGCTGGGTTTGGTTGATCATGTGTTTAATTAGATTGTCACAACCTTGGAGAATATACACTTTATTTTGCTTTGGGTTTATATCTGCATCTTACTTCTATTAAGTCATTACATCTATTGATATATTAGCAGTTACGCTTGGACTAAGAACCAGTTATTTAGCATTTCGTACAATGGGTGTTTTTCCATTAAGATTTGGCTTTGATTTTTCTGTACTGAAGATCACACAGATAGACAATGAATGCCATTGCACTTTCCGTCTTGAGCTATTACAGTTGATATTCATGCTACACTGCTCCTTCTCAATTTGATCTGTGCGATTGTGGTCCCTGTGAAATTGCACTGAATAGAATATGACCGTAACATTGCGGTCGAACTTTTGTTTTTCGTCAGGCGGATGTGAGCCGTGGTTATGGTAAATAATTATGATCTCAGGATTTAACAGAGGAGAGGAAGCCGAATGCTGTCAGAACTTCAAAGGGAGAAGCAGCTGCATGAGCGTGCAGGTCCTTGGTGTCTGTTATTTCCTCTATGTGCCAGTGCACCTCAAGCATATCAGCAAGGGGTCTTTTCAATACTCTCAATATTGTGAGTCAGAAGACTTCCTGTTCTAAAACCTTCATTTCATTACTCATGTCTGCACATGTGTATTGGAGGAGGAAAAAAATGTTACAAAAAGAAATAAGACATTCACAAATAGGATATCTTCTAGAAAGTGGTTTCATGTCAACAAAGGGAAATGGAATTAATGTTTCAAACTTACATTCAGGTACCTTTTTGGAGAAAACGAGTTCAAAGCGAACAATTTGAGTCCTTCAGGACCCTCTGCCTCTAAAAGTGTAAATGCCCTGTCATTCTATTTACCATAGTATGGTTTGTCCTCACTCCTGGATAAATGAGATGCCAGTTTTATGAGAGGAGGATGGGATGCCTGTCTGGATTGATTCTGACACTGGGACATTTGTTCTGTGCTGTGTGTTGTGTGCCTGTTGGATTGGTGGGAGGATTGGGGTTGACGGGTCATGAATTGGTGGCAAGAAGGCCATTGGTTTCAGACCACTGGGCCAATCATTAAAGGCAGCGAAATGCCACAAGTTCATGGTGACTGGTATTACAAGAGGAAATCGAGATTACAGAGGGCGGGAGATCAGTTCTGTTTTGCCAATAGAAATTTAGATCTATGGGAAGATGTTGTTGTGTAGATGTAGAAAATCAAGTCAATCACGTGTAGTGACTTTGGGAACAGCTAAATTGTGACCTGATCTTCCCATCCTCCATCAAAACACACAAACTCTAGATAAATTACTGGTTGTAAATAAAAACACCTGTAGCGTGAAAAAGTATACGAGACAGGAAGATTACAGATTTATCAGCAGCATTGTGATGCTCACTCCAAATGTGTTCTAAGTAATCATTTATTTTGACAGCATATAAGTAAATGTTCCACACTGAGATATTGGCAGCCTTATTGCAAAGAATGTGCGTCCAGAAGTCCATTAGCTGGATGACCCTTGAGTAGGTGCTTGTGTATGCTCAGTGATTCGGACAAGGCAGCCTGCTTTCCACCCTAGAGCTCTACTTACAGATTGCTGCCTGCCACTCTCTCAGACATGCTTAGGGCTGTTCTCTGCCTTCCTGGTACAGGCAGTGTCGCTCTCTGCGGTATGATTCATAAGGTGCTGTATTTATTTGGTGCAAAGAGCGTGAACTGTGCACAAAACAGAACAGATTGTGTTTGTCGTGCATCCGTAAAGTGCCAGGCAGAGATGCTGCTTTTGGGGTCATGCATTTCTAGACCCTTTAACATGTCCGGAGGTAACAGCAGAAGGAGACTATTCTTTGTCTAAAACAAGGACTTTCTAAAAAAATAATAACCTCCAACTTGCATTGAAATCCAGCTACTAAAACATAAAAAATATGCTTTTGCAGGTGTGACATTACACTTTTTTCAGGAGTAACATCTCAAGACTAAAATATATGCTCACTGCGGAAAGAACAAAGGTGTGTTGAATGTGTTGAGGAGCAGTCTATTTCCAGTGGAAGAAAGAGTGCCACTGGTGATGCAGTGCATCATGTGGAGGTGTTAGCAAAGAGTACGGCAGAGTTGCTGAGAAGAGTAGATAGTGGCTGCCTGAGGTGGCCTTGCTCCCGTGTGAACTCACTCCCACCAACAGTCGGCTTTGCAGGGTCAAACTGTTCATAACGGAAAGGTCATTGATTCTCAACACCATGTGGATAGTGTCTTACCTGTGGTTGCTGTAAAATGTGTAGCTGGGAGTGAACATGCATAATGCAATAAGATATGCAGAGCAGCAGAACTAGGGATACAAGCAGAAGGAACTCACTTGTAAGTATCCACTGCATATTGTAATTTATTCAGACTTAAGACATAAATACTTCATTCTGTGTGATATCCATATCACCGTCTTTTTCTCACCTCACACTGTTAGCTAATATAATAGTCTTCTAGAGTTTCCCTCCTCAGCCCAGTCAGTCCGTCTTGGGGATATAATTTTTCAACATGGATGTACGTTCTGTGTTAAGCGACTTTAATATCAGTTTTCTTCCAATACATGGAGTACGCTTATAGTTTAATTTCTTTCCGGACTGAAAATGCCATTAAAATCCCTCATGTCTCCCTTTCAGGAGCTTTAGTGAGGAGTAGCGGATCAAGGCTTTTTTTCCCTATGCGCTCCAACAAAAGAAACCACTCGCTGGTAAAGCTCACAATGAAACAAACATGGAAAATGGATTTTCAGCTGTCACAAACAAAGGTTGGACCCTCTATGTACTGTTTTAGACACTGACAATTTAATAGCCTTATATAATGCATCCGGGAGGCACATTATTTTGACATACATCTTCCTTCACCCCTCCCCTAGACCTCCTCTCAACCATGCTCTCACTAGTGTCACTGTGCTCCACTGCAATGCCAATGGGAAGTGGCGTACTGCCTCAGCCAGAGGCAATTCCACATCTGGAGCTCAGCAAACTCACATTGTCTTGATGTTGTTACAAGTGCCACTGTGACTCTGACCACTCTGTAAAACACCAGAAACTTCCTCTATTGCCTTCAAAGTGGATTTCTTGGCTTTATTGTCTCTTTGTGCAGACGGTGCTATATTATATATCTTACCAGAAATAAAGTATTCATGTCATTTTCTTGGTTAGCCCTGAAAGAAAAATATATTCTTAAGTAAATGAATCTAAGGACAATCAGTGCCCTAATTATTACTGTGTGTTCACAGCTACAAATAGGTTTAACATATTTCGGTATTTCCCATTTATTTCCTCTTCCAGGCTATGAATAATTCATAAGAGAGAGCTCCTCTAAGCTTGTGGATATTTGTTTAAACAGCATGTTTAATTGAAGTCTTTCAGCCAATTCTGTGCAAGGGGCTATGGTTTGTGGTCACAACGCTTACATATGCAAAATGAATTTCGGTGGCCCACAGCTTAATTAATTAGCCAGCTTTCTCACTCACCAGCTGTTTGTTGTCTTAGCCTGACTCCCCAAGCGCTAATAAAAAGGGTGTTAATGGCATACAAAGTTCACGGCTCAATAAGCATCGCAGTGTTGAGGTCAGGGTTGATTCTGGTACTGCGGGAGAAATGAAAAACTAACTTTCTTTCCATTTATTTTAACCCTTACCTGCACGAGTGTTGTGTTTTTCATATATATATATATATCAAGCTGTATGCCAGGAATGAGCAAGACATCCACTCACTGACACACCTACACAGAGTAAGGCAGGTCATGAAAAGTCAGCTGAATGGGACGAACAAGATCCAAGCCATCACCACATACACCATGCCAGTCATCAGATAACAGAGATAATAAACTGCCCAAAGGAGGAGATAGAGGCTACTGATATCAAGACAAGAAATCTCCTCACAATGCATGGAGGGTTTCACCCAAATCCAGAACCCTGAGACTGTACATTAAGCGGAGCAAGGGAGGCCGAGGGCTAGTGAGGGTCAAGACCACTGTCCAGCATGAAACAACAAAAATCCAGGAGTACATCAGGAAGATGGCCCCCAAGGATGAAGGGCTAAGTGAATACCTCAGGCAGCAGAAACCCGAGGGTGAGGACAAGGAGGAAGAACCTTTATGGAGAGACAAGCCGCTGCACGGTATATACCACCGACAGATAGAAGAAGTGGCTGATATCAAGAAATCCTACCAGTGGCTAGAAAAGGCTGGACTAAAGGACAGCACAGAAGCACTAATCATGGCAGCACAAGAATATCAGCCATGAGTATGGGCTTGAAAGTCCCTTAATTGCGATTAATTGCATGATTTTCTGCAATTAATCGCAATTAATCACATTGTTATGTGAATAATGAATTCTAAACTACTGTATTGCGCACTTTTAATCTAAATGTACTGCACTTTAAACTTATAAGGTGCTTTTTACCAGCAGTATTCCCTTTACACAGTAGCAATAAAATCTTTCTTTCAAATCTCAACTTAAATATTAATGTAATCAAATCAAATATTAAACCAAAGCTATTTAACACTGCCAGGGCATTACCTTTTATCTAGTTTGTTAAAACAATTTAGAGTCCAGAACAACGATCATAACATCATAACAGGCACCTTCTGAGAAACAGGTTTCTTGTTTTTTACAGGTATCAGCAGAAACATTTGTCTTTTATCAGGGAGCAGCATAAACAGTCTATGTTCAGTAGCAAGTGTCCCTGATAGAGTGAGGTGAAGTGGTCGCCTCACGCACACACCCACCCGCTGCTGAAGTTGAATTGTCTTGAACTTTTTGTACGTGACGCGCAGCACATATCATTGGAAGAGAGACTGATCCTCTCTGTTTGTGAGTTTCCAGAATCTATTACTGTTCACCAT